CTTTTGCTCAAAACAATTATTTGAATGCATCCCTCTTATATTAAGATGTGAAAATAATATAAGTATAATATTATATATTATTATATAATTAATTATTTTTATTCAAAGCACATGCATGATATTATCATATGTATTATGGTTGATTAATCATTGTAATAGATTCCTAAGAGATTGTATGTCAGATATAAGAAACTTGGTTAAGTTCCAAATCCATAAATTATGAATTGAAAATTTTCAAATCCTGTATTAATTAAGACTTGCGTCCTTGGCTTCCCATCATGGGGTAATAGGGTGGCCTTTGTTTATGGCTAACCAAAAATCAGTTGGTCAAAAATGCTTTACTGCCTTTGATTTATGACCGAATTGTACCTAAAGTTACGCAATTCCATTTAAGCATGTGTTTACTTTTTGAGTACGTTGTTAAAATTTGACATGTGACTCGGATAGAAAACAAAATTACTGAAAACTAATTAGCAATGTTTTCGAGATGTGTGGATTAAGACTTGTGTCCTTGGCTTCCCATCATGGGGTAATAGGGTGGCCTTTGTTTATGGCTAACCAAAAATCAATGGGTCAAAAATGCTTTCCTGCCTTTGATTTATGACCGAATTGTACCTAAAGTTACGCAATTCCATTTAGGCATGTGTTTACTTTTTGAGTACGTTGTTAAAAATTGACATGTGACTTGGGTAGAAAACAAAAGTACTTCCTATAAAACTAATTAGCAATGTTTTCGAGATGTGTCATGACAATAAAGACCTGTCATGGGAACTATACAATTATATTTTTACTATTGTACCAGTATTAGGCATAAGTATGAAGTCATTTAAGAGAATTGTTTTGTTCTTTCGTTCTCATTCAAAGTACGTACGTGGTTAATATGTATAAAGATTACAGAGAAGTGAACTCAAGGGAACATATTTTTTTTTCTTTTTTTTAACAAGCGCAATTTTTGAAAGAAGGGAGAAGGGACTAAACCCAATTTATAGAGTTGGAGAGCTGTACTTTTAACAAATGATTTATAAAACCAAGTGCTCAAAGAAACATATCTATTGCGCTTGGTAATTACAAGAACCCAATCAAATATGTAGAAACTCAAATATACAGTGAATAATAAAGTTATGATGCTCTCAAAAAAAATTTTTTTTTTTTAAACACTCCCATGATGCAAAACATAAAAAAAAAAAAAAAAAGGAGGTTATGATACAGTTGTCTCAACAGGTGCCATTTCCTACTTTATTCGAAAAAACGGTAGCTAGAAAGAGCTTTGTATATGTGAATGATATTTAAATTTAAACAGTAGGTTTATGTGGGCTTAACCCCCTGTGTCCCTCCAACTTGTTGTTATTGAAGGTTTTAGCCCCTAACATACAATGTCTGTTATGTAACCCTTGAACTACACATCATTTGAATGATTGGCCCAAAATTGACGGCAGCCAATCACATTCATCCCTAACTCATTAATCCATTCATACTCAGTGCCAAGTCATTACCATATTAGAGGAAAGATGATCCAAACTGGATTAATAGAGATGGAATACGTCAACTTCACACCCTTACTTTTATTGTTTTTGAGGGTTTTAGTCATTTAACATATACAATATGAAAATTTTTGTCCTAAAATTATCAATTTTATAGATAATAGCCTAAAAATTAATAGCAAAAGGAAGTGAGTAACATGTTCACTCATTTCTCTATTAAATCACACTTCATTAGTATCATTTTGGCATAAAAATAACCATGAGCTTTTAGAGCCTTGTATCATTTGCAATTTCTTTTTTTTTTTTTAACCTTCTTCCACCCTTTCCACTTTTTTTTCACCTCTTTCCTCCACCCTTTTCCAACTTCTTCTTCTTCTACCCTACTCCACCCTCTCCTTTTCCCTCTCTTTTTCCATGGAAGAACTATAGACATGATTGTAGAATTTCCCATTGAACTATAAGTCTCCTTCAAAACTCCCAATTTTCATTTTTTGAGTGTTAATGTTTGTGGGTCTTTTGTTTAATTTGTGATTTGAATGGTATATAGGGCTAATATTACCATAATCATCAAGAAGATGTTAGGGATGACAACTATGTCTAAAGAAGGAGTTTTGATGTGTGGAAAGAAATTGAACAAGTTAGAGGAGAGTGGTGGAAGAAAATAAAAATTAATTTTATCTTTTAAATTGAAATTAACGTGAGATCCACTTGCTATGTAATCACTCTTTTTTGCTTACATGGTGCTGGCAAAGTATATCTTAATGGAAACATGAGTAAATATGTTAGTCACATTACTTGTATTGTTAATTTCAAGTTTATTATCTTGAAAATGTGTAAATTCTCATATTATACATTAAAAGACTAAAATCCTCAAAGACAATAAGTTTGAAGGCACCAAGTCAATTTTTTCCCTCTCTATGGTTCCAACTTGGCCATTTTTTCTCTAACATGGCAATGACATGACACTAAGTAGGCATAGATTAACAGGTTAAGAACAAATGTGACTAACTGTCGTCAATATTGGGCTAATCATTTAAGCGACATGTAGTTTAAGGGCTAGATAACAAACATTGTATGTTGGGAGCTAAGACCCTCAATGATAATAAGTGGGCATATGAGGTTAAGCTGTTTATGTATATAAATTCAATAATGTGTAAGATTGTAAATATATAATTATAATATATTATTAAATAAGTAAATATATAAAATATTATAAATAAATTTCAAATGAAAAGAATTTATTAAGGTTGTGTTTGGGAACTTAAATTTGAATTTGATGAGTGTAATTGAAATACATGTATTTAAAATACATGTATTTTGAAATACATTGTTTGGATTGAATTAAAAAAAA